TATATATATATATATATATATATATATAATTAAATGTAGGTTAGCAAACGAATTAAGTAGGTTAGCAAAAAAAGTAACACTAACCATACTGTTTCTACGAATTCCACTCTTTATTGTGTACTTGAGCGGGACTTTTTCAGCATCAGGATCATCAGCAGTTACAGTAAGTAATTCATCACCAATTTCTGTTTGACCCTGAACTGCCGCTGTGTGAAAAACTCTTTGCCGGAATTTTGGGAAATTGTCGTTAACATCGATAACTTCAATAATCACTTTCGTGTTTGTAGCCAACGACTTGCTAGCATCGTTACATGAGTTATTGCAGTCAGATGTAGCCACAGTAAGCTCGTAGACAGAATTCTGTTCACGGTCCAAAGATTCACGCACATATAATTCTGGTTTTTTATTGTCGTTAAAGAAAAACGGCGATATTTCAGGCTCCAAAATCTCATAGCAAATATTCCGGTGCTTTGTTGAAGCATCTAAATCTTGTGCTGCCGTAAATGTCCCAATAAGTTTTTGGCCGTCTTTAACTGGTTCATTTTCTCTAACAGAAAACACCGTTTTCTGCAAAAAAAAGAAGTAAAGTAATTTTTTTTGATCTATTTTACAGTTCATGATGCCTTCGGTTGTTCAAAAAGTAAGAATTTGCAAAAATCAAACTGAAGCCAAACCCAATTTTTAAAAATTACTGTTAGCAAAAAAAGCAGGAACAAACTTCAAACTTAAATTCAGGACAGTGGTCGTTTAGGTCATTAACAGCGATAAAAACAATAAGTTCTGAACAGACATCCAAGAAATCACATAATTGTATTTGTAATTCGTACAGCTTTTGACGTTCAAAGTCAAAAAGATTTTTGGCGAAAATAGTGCCAGTACTGTTGATAGTAAATCCTTTCCAGTCCTAAAATCATACAAATGATACCCTGAAGAGTAACAAGAAACAGAACACGAAAAACAATAAAATTCTTTGAAGTGTGCAATGCAAATCCACCTGACTGTAGGTTTCGATAATACCATAGCGTAACTCATTCTTCTCATCGTTTTTTCCTGTAGTCGCATTGATCGTTAACAAGTGATCGTATTTTGTGTTCTAAATTATGAATGAAGATTATACCGAGCGCAGATGAATTAATCAATCTTTGCATGCCAAAGTTAAGAAATATAGAAAAAAACTCTTTCATTTTAACTTTTATTTGTTAAAATTACCTCATCAAAATAATGAATAGAATTATTTTCCGGCCACAGGATTAGAGGATTGACTTTGCTGACTCCGTTGGGTATAACAGCGACACAGACATTTTGAAAAGCTGACAGTGGCGGCTCACCCCCGTCTTTTGCCTCGACCATTGTACAGTATTTGTTTCCGACTTTGCCAGCAAGTGACTGCGCCAGTTTAAGTTTACCATCTGCGTCAATTACGAAGAATTTTGTCTCGTTGATTAGAGAATACGTTATCTTGCTGTTATTGCCAGAATCACCGTCAGAGGCTTTCAAATGGACTATTGTTTCCCCAATAGATTCGTTCTCTTCAAGTTTTATTACAGGAAGCTCCGCGGGCAGAAACATTGGAGCATTGTCATTTATATCCGTAACGTCAATCGTCACCTATTAAAACGTTTCATTTTTGGAATTCAAGGCCTATCAGCAAGTAAACACCGGCGTAATTTTTTAGATTTTTATTTTTCTTTTGAAAAAAAGTTTACAACTTGAAGAAATTATTGGTACTTTGGCATATGCTTCGTTTGACGTTTGCGGTTTTCCATCATTGTCAACAGCTCGTACTTCAAGAGTGTATCTCTTCTTTTTTTCATAATCCAAACTACCGTTCAGAAATATTTGTGAGGTAGTACTGTCAATAACAAATAAATCATTGTTTGCCACCAAGGAATAAGTGATTTTCCCGTAAAGGCCGGAATCACCATCAAAGGCTAGTGGATAAATTAAACTGAGTAAAGCGCCTATAGGAGCATTCTCAGGAATGGAAGCGTTTAGAGTTGAAGATGGCATGAAAACAGGCCTAAAGATCAACGTTAACATTTAATGTATATTTATTTTAAAGCTGGAAAAGCTCTTTTGTCTCATGCTTGACATTGCGGTTTTTTGTGCCTAAGATGAAACAGTACAACATTCCTCACCCTTAAGCTAGACTTATTCAACGTAGTCATTAAATTACCGATTGTCATTAGTGTCACGTACAGTAACAGTAAGATTAGCCACTGCAGCATTTCCGTTAAGGTCTTCAGCAACGACGGCACACGTAATTTTGCTGGTTTTTTCATAGTCGATCTCACCCACCACGGTTATTCGACCACTGTTATCAATATGCAATGCTGATGTGTTTGTTTTTGACGCTAATATAGAATAACTCAGTTTATCAGTTTTGTCTAGATCCAGTGCTTTAACGACAATAATTTCCCGCCCAATCGCAGAATTCTCTGGTATTTCAACAAAATACATCTTCTGTTCAAACACTGGGGAATTGTCGTTAACGTCTTCGATAACTATTGTTACCTTACCTGAAAATATCTTAATTTTCCATTGAAATTTAACAAATTTCTGTTGAAATGACTGAAATATTTTTCACAAGATCTATCTGGCAAGCGTACCAACAAGCATATCATTTTACTTTAATTTTTTAGTTGTAAGTGGTTGCTCACTAGTAAAACTTTTCGCTCATGAACAGCTTCTTAAGAACCTATCTAGCAAAGCAAGGTTAAGAAATTTAGGGTTAAAAGGTCAAAACAAAAGCAAGGTTAAAAAAGCCCCTTCTTATAAGGGATGATTAGAAAGAAAAAAGAAGCCTTAGAAGACTTCAAAATGTCAACACTCTGGCTTGTCTACCGAAAACGGAAGGCTTAAAAAGCATTTTAGAAGACCATGAGAGAAAAGTTTGACGTGAAGAAAATCAGTAAACAGTATGCGTTATATGAATCGTTCGTTAAGTCTCCATAGTTTTGGTCACTTCTGGTTTTAAAATCTTATACAAAACTGTACCACGACAAACCGAACTGCTGTCCGGACGACTAGTTCTAAACTACTCTCTCACTAACTACAAAAAATAAAAATAAGAAAAATAAAATTTGTTGCTCGAGCCAGAAAGCTAGAATTCTTATACAATTTTTTTCAAAATTCTAGAAATGTTGCAAAACAGCAGTTAAACAAATAACAAAAACTTTATCTGAGCAGAGTATAAGAAAAAGAAAAGTATAAGAAGAAAATAAAATGAGGAAGAGGACAATTACTGAAAAAGGTCTTTAGAAAAAAACTACTAAAATAAAAAAAGTGCAGAGCTTCTAAAGAACTGGGCTTTCAATAGCTTGAAGGTGACCCACGATGCTTTCAAAAATGGAATATCTCAGTTTTTCAATGAAAAATTTTTTCCTTAACTTGAAAAAAACCCTGACAAGATACGGCATTCGTTGCCAGGTCTGTTAAGTTTCTTTTATAAATGTATTGCTGAAAAATTAAAGTGGAAGCACTCCCAATTATTTGTATTTTATATAGTCACACAATTTTCTAAAAAAAAAAAAAAGACTACACAGAATGAGAGTTTTAGCAGTTTTCTTTTTCTTTTTGTTCTATCTTTCTTTCCCTCATCTGCCACAAAAATTCTAAACAAAAAGAGTTGAAAATGACATTCCAGTATTGATAAAGTTTCCTAAGAACAGAAAACAATTACAAACGGCTAGCTGGCATTCTGCTTGGCGTAGGAAAAAGACTAAGAGACGAGAAGAAGTTTCTGTGAAAAAAAGTTATATCAAAACTTGTCCAGCTTTTTCAAAGCTTTTAAAAAGCATTACATAATACTAACTGAAGTTATTGTTTATAAATCCTTAAAACCATACATTTGTCTAGAACTTTTTCGTCGTGATTTTTGGCCAAAATTACAACATGCATGCGGCTAACAACATCACCATCAATTTCCTCCTTCAACTTGACTACGCCGCTATTTTCATCAATCTTTAACCAATTCAAGACGTTTTTCGCTCCGCCATGCCACGTGACATTAACTTCATTGATTTCAAATGTTATATTATGTGGTTCATTCAAAAGCTTTGGAACAAAAATTACAGTATCTGCCGTTGCATTTTCTAAAATGTGAACCTCCGATTCAGAATTTATAAAAGCAACTTTTTCTCGATCCTTAAACTGCACAAATATTTTTGCTTCTGCTGTTCTTTTAGGATTGCCCCCATCTTCTGCAACAGCCGTCAATTTCCAAAATTCCGTGGTACCATTTGGCTTCTCACTGATGCTGATCTCTCCAGTTCTGTCATTAATCGAAAATATACCGTTGCCATTAATCAGCTTATAATTTACAACGTTATTTGGAGCGGTCTTATCACCATCCTTTGCTTTTATAAAAGTAATAATTCCTTGTGACTTTTGGTCGACGTCAACTAAAACTAGTGAATTTTCAAACTGCGGTGAATGATCATTTAGGTCCTGAAAAAACCGGCGTTCAAGAAATTATAAATGTTCTGTTTTGCTACAAAAAAAGCTATTGAGATCTAACCTTTATCTGTATCAAAATTGGTACGGAAGATTCCAGTGGAGGAGTACCGCAATCTTGAGCAACGACAGTTAGGTTAAAAAATAGGCTGTTTAGTTTTTCTGCATCTGTTTTGAAAACAGTGACTTTTCCAGTTGATTCATCTATTGTAATGCCTCGAAAATCGTCGTTTAGTAACCGATATTTTATTTTGCCATTTTTGCCTTCGTCTGGATCTGTTGCCTATAAAATAAAATTATACAAATGGATAAACTTTTTTCGTCTTCGCATAATCGATAGCTGATAATAAATTTTTGCAAACATTTATTCAGCATTTTTAAGAATTTAGTGATCAAAAAAATGGTATAAGTGCTAACCGTAACTGTGAAGCAGCTATCCGTTTCCTCATTAACAGCTACCATGTAAAAATTTTTTGAAAATTTTGGTGGATTGTCATTAATATCAACGATATTAACTGTTATGTTCAAACTAGATGCGAGGCCCTTTCCAGAATCATCAACAGCTTCTAGAGTAAAGTGATACTGCGCTTGCTGTTCTCGATCAAATCGCTTTTGGGATAATATTCTGCCGTTTTCATCTACCGAAAAAGCTTCCATATCAGATCCAGATAGACGATACAAAATTGGCAGGAAAACTTCTGAATCTGGTTCCTGAGCCTAAATTTTTAGCTGCTTTTGGTCTATCGTGAATCTAAATACGTTCTGAAGAGTTACTCTACCGAGATTGGTTGAAGACTTTTGAAAGGTTAACGTTAATTTCTTAGGATCCGACAAGCAAACATACAAAACAGAACAAGAAAAACCTGAAAGGAAGCAATCGCGAGCGGTTCTTCGTTCTCAGTAACATTGACAGTCGTCGATACATTTCCGAAATGAGGAGGGTTATCGTTAATGTCCCTTATATTAATAATTATGTCGCAACTTCCAGAAGAAAATGTGCCGTCTTTAGGCTTCAAGTCCAACTTAAAGTTTCATGCTATTCACTAACTGTATTTTATTAACATTTTATCACCTTCAGTCATTATGTCTTATGAAAACAAATTCTCCTCGCCTGAATACATCTGTCTCATTTCAACTCTCTTGACACTGTCGCCTAAATGCGGACCGCACAAGGAATTAAGCGGCAGTAGAATGCGATGCATCAAAACTGCATCTATTTTTTCCCCTACTTTAATAGTAGATGTTATTGATAAATTCACTAATTCCAAGAATGTGTAGTATCGCGTTCCACTTCTACCAATGCTGGACGCAGTTGTCATAACAACAAGAATTATAAGCCATAAAAAACTTTAAGTACCAAACAATGCAGCACGTTTTGTACAAAAAGATATATGATGAGTTATGTTGGGAGACAAATTATCTCTTATTTTTTATGTCAAAAACTGTGGGAGCAGAAAGGAGTATCCCTTGTAAAAATACAAAGTTTATTCTTTTCTCTCATCAAGAAATTTTAACATTTTTCAACATTTTTCTCATTGAAACTAAAACTTTCAGTTCTCTGAAAATCCTGAAGTTATTAATGATTAAACAATAGTAACTAACAAAGTCTTAAAAATGTCAAGACCTACCAAGTTAGAAAAGTTTGAAAATTAAATATGTTAACAGACCTTCAGATTTATTTTTGAGGCCACTTCGTAGTCAATTCCAGAAGCATTCTTTACTTTTAGAATAATAGAACCACGTGATTTTACGTATTCCGGTTCCACAGCAAAGTAATTTGAGTATTTACCTGCCAAAGACACTCCAAATTCTGCGTTCTCTTCCTGAAGATATACAAAATCCCAATTTTCAACACCTTATTTGTTGTCAAAATGAAATTTCTTGAATCTAGATTTACGAGTTTTAATTTAAATTTTTACTTTACCTTTTTTTAAGTAAGTCATTTTTAACACTAATACAACAACTTTTTCGTTCTTAATCATTTGCCATCTGTACCAAATTAACTGGAATTCCTTCAAAAAGATTGGGAAGTAGAGAACGATATGGCTTTCACTTTTTACCTCGTCGTCATCGGTAACAACGATAGAGCTACGTGTTTCAAAGTGCTTGCTTCCTTCAACCATTGTAAAAATGTACACTGATTTGTCACATTTTGGGATTTCATCGTCCGAATCAATTATAATAACAGAGAAGTTCTTTTCAGTTTTCATTTTATATTCATCTATCTCCGTAGCCTAAAACAGAAACACCGATATTTTTTATAAGATGCCACAAATTCTTTATCGCCTTGAGAAGCCGTTTGAACAGTAACATAATGGTTCAAACTTCCTCATTCAATAAGAATATCATTACCCTCAGACGGTTAACTACTTTACCAACTGAAAACCGTGAAATTCTGTAGCAGCTCCAAATTTTAGCTTGCTCAAATGTTGTTTTATATCTATCCAAAAGTTAAAATAAAAATAAAGTTTTGGTCGTACTGTAACAGTGATGTCAACGTTTGTTACTTTCTCGCGGTCAAGCGGAGCTTTCACAACAAGCCACCCAGTCGAATGCTCTATTTCAAAATACTTATTGTCTTCAATGTCATAGTTAATCTCGTTTTTCAACGCGCAGAATTTATCCCCATCTTCTGCTTTGATCTCAAAAACCTTTTCTCCAACTTTTCGATCTTCTGGAATACGAATTGTAGTCTCTGTATCCGTGGTGAATTTTGGTGGCATGCTAAATGAAATTTAAAATAAATAACTTGTTTATTTGATTATTAATGAAAATAGTGTACAAATGCCTGTTTGAGAGCAGGAGACGCAAAAAATTGTTTTTTTCAAAAATGATTTTCAACCGCACAACGAAGTACAAGTTTTTTTGGACATTAGGGGATATTATAAGTGACTAAAATTAATATTGGATCAGTAGCATTAAACCAGCCTACTCTTGCTCATCAATAACATTGATAAAAATATGAAGCCGAGATTCGTGAATTTTTTTAATTCTTCTAGCACCATCACGAGCTACTAGGACTATGCTGTGCCTGTTCTGAGTTTCATAGTCAAGTGGTTTGGCAAGGCGTAGAGTTGTTGTACAGTGATGCTTGCTACATTTTGTCTGATCAACCAGGAATTCCTCGCCCTGAAACAGACTCTACTGCAGCAGTTAAATTTTTTGGTCCACTTCGTTTCTCTGAACATTTTACTGCTAATTACAAACGTTGTGTAGTCATTGGTTTACCAGTGAAAAAGTGGTTATAGTCACCTGTACAAATATTTCAACTAAGCCTCCAAGTCCAGTATCAGGATCATAAACCCGCACTTTACCAACTTCGGCAAGAACCGGCGTCATCTAAAATTAATATGTTTTTCTCCTTCTATTTTGGCGTCCCGTCACAGAAAGAGGAATATGAATGGTGATTTATAAAGAAATTTAGCACTTACTTCAGAAAGGTTAATTATTGATGGGAAAGGCTTGAAAATAGGAGCATTGTCGTTAATATCAACTACTTGGATGTCAAGAGAGGCTTGTTGTCTGCCAGATTCAAAAACGAGACTGTATGAGCTGTAGTCTCGACCAGTCTCTTCATCTATCTTTAAAATTTGTAGTTATTTTTTCGAATCTGCTAACAACATCATCTATTAGTTTAGTTTTTAGCACATAAAAAGTAGTTGTTAAAAGAAGTAAAGTTGTCACTTTTCTGCAATCTCTCTTAAGTTGGTAGACTATTTAGAATAGCAATGCTATACACTACATTTTTGACTAGTTTTTGCTTTCTGGTAACTCTCAGCATTTAAACCAAGAACTCAATACGTTACAAGCATAAAACCTTCACGACAAAGATTTCCAAAATGTGGATTTTTCAAGTGTCGTACAAAGTGAAAAACTGATGTTGTTTTATGGCAGCAACGCAATCTAAACTTTTGAAAGTTTGACCAGAACGAGTGACAGCAAAAATTTATAAAACTTTTGTATAACATGACATTATAAAGAGCGAAATCGCTATTAAAATGCTATCTGGCTTTACATTAGCTCATCTATTTGAAGATTCATTATATTAAATATAGTTAACCTTGACGTTCTCATTTTGAGTCATTTTTTAATGTTTTTCTTGCAGCTTTGATAGATAAAACTTGTAAAAACGAACGAACCATTAAAATTACAGAGTAAATAGTGAGTTCCTAATATTTCGAACAGAACTCGGTACTCACAATAAAAGTTGATCCCCTAACAAATTGTGAAAACCACTATATGGCAAAGCTGTTTGGCAGAGGAACGATTTAAGCTTTTTTACTAACACAATATATTTACTGTTAGCGAGGTGCCATTTCTTTTGCTCGCTAAAGAACTGCTAAAAATCTTACCGTACGCTAAAATTAAAGGTGTTTAACAGTCACGTGAGCTGAATTTTATTACGAATAGCTTACATCAGCATCTAGAGCTTTTTTCAACTTCAGACATGAACACGTATCGTTTAGTGTTGCAATTTCAAAAGTGTTATGTTCATCACCGGAAATTATCCTCAGACTACGTTGAGCTCCACATATAGCAACTGCTAATTTCGTACCTGGTTGAATGTCTTCGTCAACAAATATCAGTGGCGGATACACGCGTAAAGCGTTTGCTGTAATAATAGTGTTTTACAGAAAATTCTAAAATTTAAAAAAAAAAAGTATAATTTCACAAAAATGAAAAACTTTTTTTGCCCACCAAGCAGCAACTGTTTACTTATTCATAATTTCGTATATATATATATATATATATATATATATATAT